AATATATATATTATATATATATTTATCTACAATGGATGCTATTTCATTACAGTAGAACTTCATTTATCTATATTCCATTTTATACAAACAAATTCATATTCAATTCCAACTATACAAACTCACACTTGAGTTCTTCAATGCTTTCTATTTGGGGATACAAATCCACACAAGTTTGTCTTTGTTAACATTGTAATCATTGATTGCCATGAAAGATAGAAAAATAGAATGGCGCCAATTATCTTATCCCCCTCATATTTAGATAAATGAAGTTTTTCTGTAGTTTGTGCTATTAAAATAGCCCCTTAGATACTCAATATTGTACAACAATATTATTAATGCCTCTTTTAAATAATTTAAAACAAATAGTCTACAACCTCTAGACAATTAATAACTTTACAATAATATATTGATTATCTAGGAGCCACTTAAGTTGGAAGTGTATATTTGCTTCATTTTCTATCCATACCATATAGCAATTCTTTCAATGATTCTTCATTTATGGTTTGCAGAGATTCTGTGACATTCTTATTATGGCTGAAATTTTGCTGTATGTCTGGCTCTAAATTGATTCGTACATTTCCAGAAACTTGTGGGAAGTCGGTGTAAGAATCTATTGGATTCTCTTTATGTTTAGGCGAAGATACTCTCAAGTGCTCCATTTCAAACGTCGAAGATGATATGCTAGTTTCAAGAGGTGACATCACTATGGAAAAGAAATCGTTCGTGCTTTTTGCATCTATCTTTTCATTGTTTGATTGTACTCTTTCAATTAATTCCGCTGACTCCTTTAGTCCCGTACTATTGAGACTGTTACTCCATGTCTTGCTCTTTAGATCTTCGTTAGTATTGCTGGCTTCTGTAAATTCAATGCCTTGTTCCTTTCTCTCAGAAGATATATTATTTATTTCTGAGTGCAGCGCTAAAACAGGTTGTCCTTGAGCATTTATTATTAAAACGAACTTATTTTCTTCATCGGCGGTATTTGTTATTAATTGATTTTCTTGCAGGGTATCAGTGACCTGTGACCTGACTGTGCTGTTATCAGCCTCTCGTGTATCAGATGTTAATTGCTGTGTGCTGCCTGAAGTTTGTACAGGACATTTATGAGTTCTTTGACTCACCTATAAGCGCGAATTATGTGAATTAACAAAAGATTGAGCGTCACATCTGAAAACATTCAATCACTTTGTACCTTGTATCGGAAGCTTTTGCCACACATTGTGCATTTATAAGGCATCACTCCTGTGTGAATTCGACGATGGACTAAGTACGAAACACGCTGACGGAAACATTTTCCTGCAGAAGAATTAGTACGGCAGTTGTAGGAAGATTATTATCGTTGTTGTGGCCTACAGCACACTTACAAGATAAGCGTTTCTCGTGAAAAATTACCTGCATTTCAGTAAGCCATGCACAGCACACCATAATATTACAGACACTACGCAAACAAAATAATGAATAGTAATTGTTAGTCAATCCCAAACGATTGTTTATTTGATTAATTCTGCATCGGTTCATCTTTAATGTTCGTTCTTTCGTAACATACCACATGTCTCGCAAGCAAATGGCTTCTCTCCGGTGTGAATCCTTTCGTGATTATGTAACGTGGAGAGTTCCTTGAACGATCTACCGCAAGTCGCGCAAGTATGCGGCTTATCATCCTTGTGATAAAGTCTGTGCTTGTGATACGATTGTTGGAAGGTGAAGCTTTTGTCACATATTTTACATTTGTAAGGCATTTCTCCTGAATGCAGTCGTTTGTGCTTCTTCAAAAAATATTTCGTCGTGAACATTTTACTGCAAGTATCACACTCCCATTGCTTCCCCTCGTGGGTCTTTAAATGTTGTATTACATGTTGCTCCTGAAACGCAAAAGCAAGAGAAAAATTTATATTTTTATTAAGTTTGCAATATCAAATAAAACGCGTAGAAATATCCTCACTTTCTTGAATTTCTTTCCACATGTAGGACACGCGTATCCAGCGTCGCCGCAGATGACTTCATTTTGGTCACCTTTAGAAAAAGAACCTATCATGTGTGAAAAATTTTAATTGCGTATTGTATCGAATTATAAACTATAATAATAATTACATTTTCCTCATTTGCTACAACAATGATATAACTTAAAAATTGTCATTTTTTTAATTTATTGAAAAATTAATGATTTAAAATATTGAAATTTATTTTCTGAAAAATTTTAAATTGTGCCGTTGTATTTTAGGAAATTAGTAATATATTGAATTACTTATTAATTAGATATAATAAAATTACTTGCCTGAATTATGTCCAATGTGAGCTACTCTCATATGCACCATTAAGCTGCCTCGCATTTTGAATACCTTAGAGCACAGATAGCAAGAGTAATTCTTAAGAACTTTTTCTGGATTATTGCTTGAATCCTGCTCGTGCACTAATTTTTCGTGTAAAGCTAAAATGTTGGTGTCAGGAAAGTAAAAGCCGCATAAATTACATCTTTCCGTTTTTTCCTTCGGTGCTATCGTATGGATGGCTTTGGCACTTGTTTGTATATGAGGTAATATTTGGTCGTGTTCTAAATTTTGATTTTGATCCCCGGTATTTGTTTCGAGTATCGCGTTCTTCGTATTAAGCAAGTCTTCCTTATCATTGTGTTCTTCCAGTGACTTTTTCGCGCAGACATTTGCGATTATATTCTGGACTGATTGAAAATTATGAAGATCATGCTCTTCTTCAATTAAATCTGTTATCAGTTTTTCTTTTAAGACACGATGACTACTCTTTGATTCAGTGCATTCCTTTTCAATATCTTGATAGATGTTGGTATCTACAGTTTCTGCTATCTTTGTTGCAATAATTAAATCTGAAATAGCTGTTTTCTCCGCCTGTATAGCTTCCTGGGATACATTCAAATGCTTGATATCATTACAAAAATACTGCATCACATAATTTGTTTCCTGTTGCAGATTTGTAATTACTTTCTGAACTGTGTTATGATTCCCGGAAGAATTTGATTGCGGAAGAATGTTTACTTTAATCACGTCATGATTGTAATCTGATATGAAACTAGATTGATTCATGCCTTTTGTTGATGAATCTAAGCTTTGCATTTTAGGTTGGGAATCTATAGCAGAGATATTTTCTACATTCGGCACGTCAGAATCTGATAGTTTTGTCCTATTGTTACCACTTTCAACTTTATCTAATTGCTTCAATATGTTCCAGTTTTGCGGTGCAATGTTGTGTGCATTGTGGATAGCGACCAGATGCTCATTGGTAGCAGCCATATCTACAGATTTAGACGATTCTGCTGTAGCATTGTTCAGATTGATCGTGTGACCAAATAAATGTATAGTTAATTTATCTATGCCTAACAATACTTCGTTACAGACAGGACATATTAAAGGTCGAGTCGCTACACTTACAAGTCCAGCTCGTAGCGCGTCAAGCGTTAGGAATCCAGGTTGCGAACACAGCGGACATGCCAGGACTCGTGCACACATTTTGTGTATATGTTTTATTATCACGGAATCTGATATTCTTTTCTAATCATGTGTTGCGCAACTTTGCCAATTTCTATAAAACGTGGCACATCTTTGTATAACTATATCACTATATACTGCTTAGTTTTAATATCTTCAAGGTAATTGACCAAGTGTTGTGTGATCGTGAAGTTGCAACAATAAACAGTACGATCGTGTAATTTAAAACTGACATAGTGTAATATTGATTGAAATTCCTGGGGTTATACTTGAACTTGATTTAATAATTTAAAGTTGAAGTTCAGGATGTGCCTTGATAGCCAACGATCACTCTAATCCCAAATTTTACGAATTATAGACTCTGCACTGATACCGCGTATACAAAATTTTCATACCTCAAAGTCTAAATATAGAAGGACGGTGATGGTTTGAGATATTCGTGCTGAATTCCTGCGTGTCTTTATGGAGCGTATCTGATGATCTTCAAGCTATATTTAGAAGCTAAATGGTGGGATATTCAAAGTATTATAAGCATTAAGCGAATGAATTTATTAAAAATTGTTTAAATTGTCAAGATTACAAACTATAATATAAAAATCGAAGACGTTTCGATGCAAAAATGTTATCCTATAAATACATGTTAATTAACATTTATATGGCATGCCATCTTTGCAGCAATATTCTCTACCGGCTGATAGGTTCGTGTTTATCCATTCATCTTTACAATTTTTGAAGAAAAGATAAGCCTATAAAGAAATATTATTAAGATGATATGGTTTCAATACACAAAATAATTTTCATAATTTCAAATAAAGATATAGTAAAAATTAACTTATATATACGTGTACTCACTCTTTCTTTGTGACAATCACGATCTATAGAAGCACATAGAACTGCTTGACTGTTTGGTAAATGTTTCACTATCTGTGAAATATTTCAATTTGTTATTAATAAATATTTTACTTAGAAGGGTGATACAAATTAAATATTAATTACTAATAATTAATTATTAAGAATCAAGGATATATAATTTCTTAACGATTAAAATTTAAACTTACAATTTCAAGACATTTGTTGACACAAAGTTTGTTCCCAATAGTAGTACATGGAATTGAATCAGGATATTCATGGATAAGTGCAGGATATCCTTTGGGTTGTTCCTTGCTGCCTTTCTTAAATTGTCCGCTTAAAAATATAGCGCAGACGCAGCCAGTTGGCTGTTTTGTATTCGTAGATGACTTAATATTTGTAACAGTACTATTATTTTCTGCATAAGAATATGATATACAAAGAGCCATCATCACTAATATTAAATACATTTTGATCTGAAATATGAATTACTACTATTATTAACATTGCTTTTTGTTCAATCTTAACTATATTAGTCAGATTAAATTATATATAAACGATTCTTAAATATTTAAAAGGATAAAATGAAGAATATATCTTGATTTTGAGAGAATCTGCGATTTTGAATTTTAATAAATTAAATTAATTTAAATATTTACTGCAAAATTCTTTTCACCGAACTATACTGTATCACTTCACAAAACTGCACTCAAATATAAAATCGATGCTTTAAATCTGTCACAGTATGTTGCAATGTTCTCATGGGCCACATTTGAAATGCTTGCTAAGCAAAATTTTAGGTGCAATGTAAGAGTCCCATTTTAATTGTTTTATGATTGGGATATATCTTATGTACAAATTAGCAACAGATTTTAATTACAATTTTGATGATATTATTACAGATAAAATTATGTTCAGAGAAAACTTAAAAATAATTTCAAACTACATATAAATATCTATTTTCTATAATTATCAACATACATGATATGTATTTATACATGAACATATATTTATGAAATAAAACATGTCAAGTTTTACTAAATTTTTTATTAAATATTTTTTATAATTTTATACGTTATAAATATTTTTACAGTGTAAAATGATAAAATATTACAATATTTTTCTCATAAGTTTAGCTTCTCCTTCTAATACGATTCTATCTCCATTAGCAATACACATATATACGCATTTAATGATTTTTCTTACTGATGTAATTTTAACTATAACTTCTACAGTATCGCCAGCATAACATGGTTTAGGAAAAGTAATATTTTGCTCGATAACTATAGTACCTGCACCAGGTAATTTTGTACCAATTAAACCTGACACTAGGCCATTGAGCAAAGCACCATGCGCAATATTTCTTGCTGATTCAGTATGTATTGGATTATGATCGCCTGTTAATTCAGCAAACTTGAGTATATCATCATTTGTTATTATTTTCAGAACCGACACTTGATCTCCTTCTCTCAAATTGTTCATTGTTGTATCAGCGAATGATCGTATTTTGGTGGTTCTTACAGAGTGGTTTTTGAGAAACCCAGCAAAGAATTGAATTAGTTTCATGATATTATTTTCTATATTACAAGTTACTAAAAATATCAATTTAAATCAATAAAGAGCATTAGATAAATATTCAATAAATTAGATTCATTTTTTACAAGACTGATTCTCTGTCTTCACTTTCTCTATAGCACTCGTTTCACAAAAGTCATTTAGGAATAACGTTGCTACATTTTTAACACGTCTATGTTCATATGATGGATCCGAAAGTTCCAGCATGCGTTTAATTATTCTAGGTGATGTTATCTCATTTACTGATTCAGGTGTTATCAAAAACATTAAGGTAGTAATTACTCCAAGCAAAACATCTTCGTCTTCGGAAGAAAGTAATGATGATATTAACTCGACACCTTGATTGCGCAGAATATATAATTTATTTATTCCATCTGAAAAGAATATTACATATAATACAACAAATATTAGACTCTTTGCACGTAACAAAAATATGCTTACCTAAACATAAATTGCAGAGACCACCAATACCAAAACGTACTAACTTTGGATTGCTTTGAGATAAAGCATTGAGAAATATATCAATTACTTTTAATTGTCTCATGTATCCATAGTTTACAGGATCATACGCAAAATTTGCCAAATTTGCTAATACTTGCTCCTGTGCGTCTAATAATTTGAAAGACGTTGATTAATTATTGTTACACAGATTATATATATCAAGAAAAGCAATAATTTTATTGATAAATTTTTATTCATATTCTTTTGTAAGCGATATTAAACATAATTAGAACATATGAGTCTTGATGATTTTAAGACTTTTCTTGATTTTTAAATATAAATGATTTAAAATAATTTTGTTTCATAATTTTACTTTTCAGTTTTAAACTTGAAAAATTAAAAAAATAAAACTAATAACAAAAACTTTGCTAAGTTCCAAGAACATGTACATTTCTTTAGAATTAAAAAATATGTTCATGTTATGAATTAATCTTTTACCTTTAGATGATGTTGTTGTATACTCGGTGACTAAAAGCTTTAAAAAATCATAACGTCCAGTGGGATTTTTTCCTGTGCGTTTTGTTAATCTTGCTCTACTGGAGAACATTGGAGTTTCAATGTACTTTATTTATATTATTTATGATGATATTTCTCTGTTACAATTACGTTCTGCAAAAATAAAGTTGATTTTAAGATGGAATTATGTGAACTTATGTACAATATAAATAAGAATATATCATAATTACACAAATTATAACTAAAAATTAAACCATTTATCTGTTATTTCGAATCGTTTACAAATTATAAAACATGTACAATAACTATATAAACTTTCAGCTTTATTCGTTTCATTCATAAACATTTTTTTATGTTTAAACTATTCAAAATAAAAGTTTTTCTAGCACTACTTGAAGAATTTCTTTCAATCTTTCCCTGAGGTTATATAACGCTTGTCTTTATACTTTTTATTTTGTGTATTTGCTTACATAATTCTGTCTATTCTCTTAATAAATTGAATATTAACTTCGTTCCACTATTATGTTGTCATTAACAGATTTTCCTTTTTTTCGAATCTTACGATTTGAAACGCCTGTTTAGTGTTGTGTTAACATCACAAGAAAAAAATTAAAAGTCAAAGAATGGTATTGCACTCTACCTAAAAATCTGGAAATTATGAACTAATCTTGATTCCGTTGCCTTTAAAACACGCGGGATTCCTTTTACCAAGAAAAACAAATTGTTTACCACGAATTGTTGGCACAATATCATTGATTGAATTAAATCTCAGCATCATCAGAAGAATTATTAAGATATATTTTAGTTATCATAATTATTGCATTGTAAAGCAGACTGAACACAATATCGTCAACTTGAAAATAAAATAATTTAATTGGTAGATAAAAATAGTACGTTTTTTAAAAATAACAAGTGGTACCTAATGGATATTTAATTCTCTAATTGCCAATTATTGATTAATTCTATATAGGATCTTCTGATTGGTTTGTCCAGAAAGATCACAAAAAACACCTTTTTATGCTAACATTCGACGCTTATTTTTAACATCAAAACAAGCGACAATGATTGCGTTCAGCAGAACATAACAATTTTGCAACCGTTTTATGATTATCTGCTGATAGGACCATTCCTCTTGAACTAAAAGCATAACCCAATCAACGCGAAAAAAACTTCCAAAAGTTGCAAAATAAACTGCTGAACGCAGCCAATAGCTGCGTTTAGAAGAAAAAGCAGCTTTGCAACTGTAAAATTCTTTAATATGATTAGCCTTGCCCTTAGTTCCTCACTGGATCTAAATGTATAAACCAATCACATCTGAGAATTTTGTAACAGTTGTAAAGCTGCTTTCTCTGCTGAGTGCAGCCAATGACGCTTGATTTCGTCAGTTTTGACTATGTGACCTATTTTGACTCTAAAAATGAGCGTCGAACGTCAGTATGAAATTGCATAAAATTGCACCTTGAGGCTGAACGAGCGATATGTCGATATCGCATGTTCGAAATTCAAAAGTTATCGACTTCCTGTCTACTACTGCACTCTGGTGCGAATTTCGCGGATGCTGCGGTGGAAGTCATGATTAACACGTAGCCGGCGTTCGACGTGTCCTAGCCTCCTAAAGTTCAAGTGTGCAGTGAGATATTTGATAATTCGTTGCGCCCCGCTCTCAATAGTTTCAACTTACGCACTGGACCACGGGTATTCTGGAGGCACATATGGCGAACGCGCCACGTTCTGAATATCGATAATACGCGGATATATATACGGTGTATCGCACATTTTAACGCGCTCGTGGCGGGCGCGGGCCAACAAGAGAACATGTTGCCGAACAAGTCATCGTCGTCACACCAGCAGCAGCAGCAGCAGCAATTGCCCTCGTCGTCCTCTTCGTCGTCGTCCTCTACATCGTCAGCCAACGCGAAGGTCATGTTCCCTGATAAGAGGTCGACGACCAAACAGATGAAGTCCTCCACATTGACAAACGCCGCTGGCTTAAGTTCCCTCATCACCTTTACCGTTCTCTTACTTGCTTGGATCTCTGGTTTCGCCTCGAGGCTTTTTGCGGTCATACGCTTTGAAAGCATCATACATGAATTTGATCCCTGGTACGTAACCTGGTGTGGGATCATTCAACATGACCATGTGATATATACTATCATATTTTTGATAAACTATCGTTCTATTATTTTCCCGTTACATAATGGAAGCATGAGTTAGTAGCCAATAATTCAAATTTATCTGGAAAATATAAAAGAACGAGTATCCAGATAGTCAATTTTAGATTTCTATCTACTATGTCTTCCTTATACTTGATTTTTTTGTCAACTATAATTTAACTGAAGCAGACTTAAATGCAGCAGAAATATTGCATAGCAGCATATTGTGTCATGTCTGTTTTTTATTCCTGTACTTCTTGCTTTAGGCTAATATTACATTTGTCATAAATTTTTCAAACATGTTAATGTAAATTGGCTGTAAGATAGAAATCTTGGATTTCTTTATCCTAGCCAATTAATATTTGACAAATGTATATGTAATATTGGCCTAGGGCTCCTATTATAATGACATAGTCGACACAAATCGTTTTATCTTTGACATTCAATGAATAACAAAGATAGAACACTTGTTTTAATTTTGTTTCATTGTTTAGCTTTTTTTACTATGTATAAAACTGACAATGTGATGACATTGACACATAAAAGTTAAAAATAGGATCCTTAGCCAAATATCAAATATATTTATTTCATTTTAAATCTTTTTTTATAGCTAAATTAGTTTGAAAGTATATGTTCGATATTTGGCTGAAATGAGAAAAAAAGATTTTATTTCTAATATAGAAATAAAAAAGGATCAGTGAAGTTCCAAAAATATATACATTAATTTAGCTATAGAAAATCTATGATTTCATAATGTTGCTTTTTTTCTGATATATTTTTATAGATATCAGGAAAACAGTAGATTATACTTATTATTTATTAATGTAATATGTTATATAGTACCTATTTTTAGCTAATTTGACTATCTGGATATTGATAAGTTAAATAATTTAAATAAATTAAATTTAGGTTAAAGGATTTGTATTTTTATTTTGTTTATTCTGTCTGTATATTGATTCATTTTTATAAGTAAATAGCATTACGAATTTTTTACTAATTAGCGGATAGGATGTAATAAATATGTTTTAAATTCAGGTTCAATTATAGAGCGACAGCATACATGGTTCAACATGGATTCTACAATTTTCTAAACTGGTTCGACGAACGGGCCTGGTATCCATTAGGTCGGATTGTTGGTGGAACCGTTTATCCTGGACTTATGATAACATCTGGATCGATACACTACATACTGCACTCTCTGAACATACCAGTGCATATAAGAGACATATGTGTATTTCTAGCTCCAATTTTTAGTGGCCTTACTGCCATATCTACGTATTTATTAACGAAGGAAATATGGAGTGCTGGGGCTGGCTTGTTCGCCGCTTGTTTCATCGCCATTGTACCTGGCTACATCTCGAGATCCGTAGCCGGGAGTTACGACAATGAGGGAATCGCGATCTTTGCATTGCAAATTACCTATTATCTTTGGGTTAAATCAGTCAAAACTGGCTCAATCTTTTGGGCGAGCATAACTGCCCTATCTTACTTCTATATGGTATCAGCATGGGGAGGCTATGTGTTCATTATTAATCTGATTCCACTTCATGTGTTTGCCTTACTGATCATGAATCGCTTTAGCAATCGATTGTTCACGAGTTACACTACGTTTTACGTTCTCGGACTTTTACTAAGTATGCAGATTCCATTCGTCGGTTTTCAACCGATTAGAACTTCTGAACATATGGCAGCTAGTGGCGTATTTGGTTTGACAATCTTTGTAGCAGCTTTTAGGTATGTGCTGTTTTTATAACATTAATTTGTTCATTATTGCATATTATTTTAATTTGCAATATTTATTCATAGTAATACAAACATATTCCTAAAATATTTAACTAATGAAAATTTTCTGTCTAAATTTACAAGAATTATAGAAATAAAAATTAAAATAAAATTAAAGCTTGATAACAAAATTCATTCTTTAACAAATTATAAAAATAGTAAAATTGAAAAACTTAAGCGTTACAATTGTTATAATAATATTTTAATTAGAAATATTTACATTTTATTATTATATCCATATCAAATAATGCTTACATTTATTTAAATTTTGAAAATTTTATTTACTATTCTATAAATTGATGTTTGTAATTGATACAGAAAAACATGATTATATTATTTTACAAATAAATACAGAAAAAATTTTTCTCATTAGTATACATTTTGGACATACTCTGATATATATTGCAGTATACATTTTGGACATACTCTGATATATATTGCAGTATACTTACATTGAGCTCTCTAATTGCAGATACTTAAGAACTGTACTTACCAAATCCGAAATGAAATATTTCGGTGGTGTGGTGGCTGTAACAACTAGTATGCTGCTATTAATTTTGATCATCTTAACATACACTGGCGTTGTCGCTCCATGGAGTGGTAGATTTTATTCATTGTGGGATACTGGTTATGCCAAGATACATATCCCTATAATAGCATCTGTATCGGAACATCAGCCGACAACTTGGTTCAGTTTTTTCTTTGACTTGCACATTTTAGTTGCATTGTTTCCAGTTGGTCTTTGGTACTGCATCACACATGTCAATGACGAGCGTGTTTTTGGTAAGAATCTATGATGAGAGTGTGTCTTGGAATAAAATATCAATAAGAAAAATTGTAATATTCTTCTTGCAGTCGTACTATATGCCATAAGTGCCGTTTATTTTGCTGGTGTGATGGTAAGACTTATGTTGACTCTGACTCCAGTAGTGTGTATACTGGCTGGAGTCGCTGTCAGTAGACTCGTGGAACTGTTCCTCAAAGAAGAAGACAGAGACGGTAACGATAATGAGAGTAACGAGGAGAGTGAGGAAGAAAGAGAGAGAAGTCCCGGTAGAGCGTTGTATGATAAGGCCGGTAAACTTCGCAGAATGAAACATGAGAGGTCAAAAGGCAACGGTGACGGATTAGGTCCTAATCTTCGCAATGTCATTATTATCGGCATGTTAATGCTGCTGATGATGTTTACCGTGCACTGCACGTGGGTGACTAGTAATGCTTATTCTAGTCCATCTATTGTTTTGGCGTCCTACAGTAACGATGGTGGCAGAGCCATACTGGATGATTTTCGAGAAGCTTACTATTGGTTAGCACAAAACACCGCCAATGACGCTAGAGTCATGAGCTGGTGGGATTACGGATATCAGATTGCTGGTATGGCTAACAGGTACAACGCTTATAATATCACTTAATACAGGAACTATAGAAAAAGAACTATAGACACAAAGTTTTTTATTAAATTATTAGTAACTTATATTAAAAAAAATAAACTCTGGAATGTTAGTTATTTAAAAATAATAATTATGTACTAAAAACAATAATTAATATTTAAAATGCTTATCTTTAACTTTAATGCAAGCTTTAAGATATGCATCAACGATGAGCACAAATCTTTCCGCGAATGAATTACGCCAAGTAACTAATAGAGCG